GCATCCTCTGTTTTCCTATTTATTTTATAAAAGCACAACGTTTGTTGATATTGTGAATGCACACATAAAAGTAGACCCTTTACATTTCCGAATGTATTACTCTTACCTTTATGAGCAAAAATTACGGCGTATTTTAAGTTGTTTCCACTATCAAGAAAAAAATGCAAATGAGTGATCGCGCTGGCGCCTCCATGTCCTGCAAAGTGCCTTCAGCTTCCACTCTTCACACAAACTATTGGATATGCGCCTAATAGTGCACATTTATACCGTTTAAACATTTAAACTAACATTGTGATATGCTTGAACTGTTTTATATCTATAGATTTTATTCTAGGCAAGTCCTGATTATTTGAGAAGGCCTACATTTGAGAGGATGTACCTAAAGAAACCTCTCCATTTGATAACAGATTCGTTGGTCTGTGTTAAATAACAGACGATCTATCGCTGGAATGTGGTATGGCAAGCGCTCGTTGCTGCTGTTATCAGTTCTCTCTTGGCACTCGTGCACAATGCGCAGTCTTCACACAGACGATCGTACGCTTTGTTCTGGTAAAAGCACAAAAAAAAATGCACACAAACATGTCCTTGCTCTTGATATACAATCACTGATGAACACCTTTGGTTTTAATGAGAGAAGAAAAAAAACTACACAAGGGTGGATTAGAACCCAGAACCTCGGAAATGCTTGATAAAAGTTCTACCACTTGACCACTAAAGCTCACACAAACTACTTGTGTGAATTTACAGACGATCGTACGCTTTGTTCTGGTAAAAGCACAAAACAAAATGCACACAAACATGTCCTTGCTCTTGATATACAATCACTGATGAACACCTTTGGTTTTAATGAGAGAAGAAAAAAAACTACACGAGGGTGGATTAGAACCCAGAACCTCGGAAATGCTTGATAAAAGTTCTACCACTTGACCACTAAAGCTCACACACACTACTTGTGTGAATTTATATATTTATTCAGTTCTGTGAAGAATCTCAGTACTAACTGTATTTTATTATTAATACGTTCATTATTCATTTATATTACTATAGTCGCTTGCAATGTGGGCAGGGCCCGTGTGTGCTGCGGGGCCCCCCCGCGGCACGGGCCCCAGTGCATGCCCAAGAGGGTTAAGGCAGTACTGGAAAATAATGGTGGCCACACAAAATATTGACACTTTGGGCCCAATTTGGACATTTTCACTTAGGGGTATACTCACTTTGTGGCCAGCGGTTTAGACATTAATGGCCGTGTGTTTGAGTTATTTTGAGGGGACAGCAAATTTACATGTTAAAGAGGGTTAAGGCAGTGCTGGAAACTAATGGTGGCCACACAAAATATTGACACTTTGGGCCCAATTTGGACATTTTCACTTAGGGGTATACTCACTTTGTGGCCAGCGGTTTAGACATTAATGGCCGTGTGTTTGAGTTATTTTGAGGGGACAGCAAATTTACACTGTTATACAAGCTGTACACTCACTACTTTACATTGTAGCAAAGTGTCATTTCTTCAGTGTTGTCACATGAAAAGATATAATAAAATATTTACAAAAATGTGAGGGGTGTACTCACTTCTGTGAGATACTGTGTGTGTGTATATATATATATATATATATATATACATATATAAGAAGTATTTAAGAGTCTGCATTATTTTTGTCACTACTCAAATGCAAGCTTTTTTGTACAAATGGTCAGATGTTCTTTGATTCTACTGAAGCACAGGATGGTCTTTGAAACTTTGTAAAGTCATGCTGGATAATAACTTAAGGGAACTATTACACAAACTTGTGGAGTCCATGCTAGTGCATGCTGTTATCAAAGCAAAGGGGGATATAGAAAATTGATTGTTTAAAAAAATATGAAATTGAAAGTCATAATATCATTTGTGTTGGAAATGGTTGTAGGCCTACTGCGTTAGCAACAATGCAAAATCTCTAGTGGGCTCAGACTGGTTTCACTTTAGATCACTTTTTTTGTTTCTCAGTTATTTTTTTCTTGATGTTTAGATGTTTTAACTCGCTTTTCAAAGGTTAACGAAGCAATACAATAAGTGTGTATTACTTACTCGGGTTACTTTTATATTAAATAGCCTTTACCTGATCTGCTTTGTGGTCAGAAGTTCAAAATAAAGCAAAGGAAACCTCAAAAGCTTGTGCATGCCTTGGGGTTTTTGTAATGCTGTCAGGGGCAGAGTTGTGAAAGCAGCTGTAAAGCTTTTTGTATGGTGCAGAACACTTTCTTAATGCAATCTTCATTAATGTAATTGATGTCTGGCATTTAATATTTTGCCTAGTCTCCGCCTTTATTCGGTTCGTCACGCCTTGGTGCGTTAGTGCATGTGTGCGGGGCAAAATGGCTGCTTCCATCTCCCCGCAGACACAAACAATAGCGGAAAAATTGTCTGACTGTAGGTGCTGTAATAAGTCCGATACGCTGCAGCCGCTGAATGGTGAGTGCATGCACTTCCACGCCATGCATGGGGATGCGTGAGAGATGCATATGCTCGGAGCTTCGCCACTTTTAAAGCTTGCAATCGTGTTAACATTTAATTAAGCTCCAGTCATACCCGATGTGCGTTTTAAATCACTGATGCCAGGAATGGTCCAGTTACAGAGTGCACGTACGAAAGCGACTCATTCCCCTGCTGCCTGAACAGTTTTCGATCTGAAAAGTCACAATATGTGACATTTTGCGCTCAGGTGCTTAATAAAGGCAGTTTTCGATGTCCTGTCGAAATGACGGCTTCTTTTTTCAATGCATAGCCTGTCTTTATGATTCTCGAAATTAGGCTGAGTCTTCGCCATTTTACTTGCGGTGCTTTTTTAAATGTTGAAATGGAGCGCGCCAGCTCTTTTTTCCTCGCACTTTCACAAAACATTTTGAAAAGAAAATATCAGCGCTACTTGTTTTCTTTTACGCTGTCCTGAATAAGTTATTAAACGGTAGATTTTCGTGTTTAACTTAATGCATTTAATGCCTTTTTTTCCTCTTTATTGTCTGGTTATTTCATGGAGTATGCCATTACAGTGAATTTTCATTTTCAGTCTGAGCAGAAAAAGGGCTGATGTTGCTAGAATTGTGTCTAGGACAGATCAAATGACAGAACAGAAACGCCCACCGCAGGAACGCGTTCACAGCTTATTATATTGAATATGCTGAGAAGAGCGAGACCAGCAGGAGCTTCAAAAGAAAATCACTGTGTGCTGCTTGAATGTAGACCTGCTGAATTTACCTCTGGAGTGAATAAAGTATCAGTCTGTATGTTCATCTAATAGTTAGTCTCGAGAAATCAAAATTAAACAACTTTAAGTCAGACAAACCAGTTGTTTTATAGTCTATTTGGTTGCTGTTAGTCAGCATTACTAGTTATTTTTCTAGTTTTATCGCCAGTTTGTCCATTTTAAAAACTCTCAGTCATTAAGTTTAATTGCTGCCAATAATTGCAATCAAAGAGCCATGAAAGTTGTGTGCAGGACAAGATTTAGCAGGATGCTGGGGTGGGCTATTCCCCCTTTTAACATTTTCTCTGTGCAATATGGTGCTTGAGAGAGAGAGAGAAAAATAGTTGTTTAGTCACAGATGAATTTGTTACATTTATGGCAAAAGAATTGGGAGACTGTAATGTCATTATTGGACCAAAATATGATTGGAAATTGTACAGTGTATAATCTCAAAGGAAAATAATTGATGTGAATTTTAAGGGCTATTAGAAGGTTGAAATTATTTATGTTCAAATTCTTTCGCTGAAATTGACATCAAACTATATATTTTGTGATGATTTTGTGCCTTATAAGTTACTGACCCCATAATAAGGAAAATATTTAGCAGATGTCTTTTAACAGATAATCTTACAGAATCACCTGGCCAGGTAATTGAGCATAAATTAATCAAAAATATTTTTATTTTATTTATTCTGTGCATTAGATGAAGGTAAAGCTAGTTACAGTTTGTTTAAAGGAAACATTCATTTGAGACCTTGGTGGGTTTGACTCTACAATTAGCTAATTAAAAAATGTTGTCTCTGTCTATGCATATACAGATGGGGAGGAGGCAGAGGATGGGGAAGAGGAAGAAGAGGAGGCCCAAATGCCTGTTACAGATAAATTGGCCACAAGTCCAGGAGAAAAGACCCTGTTCTCTATTGAGGAACAGAGCCCTGAATCCAAAGAGACAGATGCTATGGGTAATATGAATTTTAGTCTTTTAATCTACTTTCAAAATAATAGCTCACCCAAAAATCAAAGCTCCATCATCATTTACACACGTTGTGATGTTTCAAATCTGAGAATATTCTTTAAAAATTCACCTTTTGTGTTCCACATAAATTCATAAAGGTTTGGAATAACCTGATAGTGAGTAAATATAGAGTAAATATAGACAGAAATGGTAATTTATGGATGAAGTAATCCTTTAAAAACATCTGAATTTGCTAGTGTTAAAGTCATAAAAGCGTGTGTCTATCGTAGACAGTTATACTAACAACATCCAACACGTAGAACAACAAAATAACAAGTAAAACAAGCGAAAAACTGCAGAGTTTTCTCGGAGCTCGCAACACGGCTGCCATGCTCGGCGCCATCTTGAACCTACCTAAACTTAATTGTATGAACATGAATATTTGAGCTGATGGGATGTTGTTACATATATTTTTCCTTATTAATCTGGTCTGTCACCTTGATTTTTTTGTCTCTTTACATGACATTTTACAAACATTAGTTTTGATTTCCACAGTGGAGAGTCAGTAAAGGTCTATTAACTCTGCTTAGTGAATAAACTGAAAAAATTTGGTTAGAAGTCCCATCTATCAAAATGCATAAGATAGGTCCTGAATCACCATTTCTCTGTTTTCCAGGCTCTAACCTGTTGAAATGTGAGTTTTGTGGTGCTGCCTTTGAGACACGTCGTGGTTTGTCTAGCCATGCCCGCTCTCACCTACGCCAGCTCGGCATCGGCATGTCAGAGAACAGTGGCGCACCCATTGATCTCCTCTACCAGATCACTAAGGAACGCTCCATTGATGCACACTTCACTAGCACCTCCCCTACTGTGGAATCTCCTAAGAAGCTCCAGCACCATGCCCCTATTGTTCCTATACCTAGCCCCACAAAAGATGTTGAAACTGAAGAAGGACTGCTGGACACCAAGCCCCTTGTCCCGTTCTCTATTGTGGGTTCCGCTATTAAAGTTTCCTCTTCCCCAACTACTCACTCTGCAGCTGGCTCCCTGCCTTCCTCTCCATTTGTAAAGTCTCGGTCCCCTTCCCCAGTGCTGAGAAAGGCTCCCATCTCTTCCCTCCTACCCGTGTCTTCCCCACTGCGATCCCAGGAGCATAAGACCTTAGGAAAGAACCAGTCTACAAACCTCTCCAGTCCGAACAAACCATTCTGGGCACCGCAAGAGTCGGATGCCCCATTGAATCTTAGTAAGAAAGCATTTAATGTACTAAATACTAATAAATAATTTCAACAAGTTGTTTGTGATTTGTTTTAGTTGTCTTGTGGTCATCAATTTGTTCTTTTTGCGTGTATATTGTCTGTCCTTTTTACAATCTCTTTAACTTTTCTGTTCCTCTCACACTCCTTTCTAGCGATGGACATGGACTCTAAAGACATTATTTGCAAGTTGTGTGGTGCGTGGTTTGAAACAAGAAAAGGCCTCTCGAGTCATGCTCGTGCCCATTTGCGCCATTTTGGGATTGAGTACTCAGAATCCAAGGGCTCCCCCATTGACTTACTCAATCGGTTCATCTTGACTGATGATTTTAAGCACAGAGCAAATTCTTTTCTCTCAGACGGTCCAGAAGACCTGAGGTCCCACAAGACCAGCATGACATCCCTCTTACCCTCCACTTCCACTTCCCCTAAGAGATCTCTTCACTCCAGCCCTGTCCTATATAGAACAGCAACCTCTTCTTTGAGGACAACAATTGGCTCCAAAGCTACCTCCTCTTCTACCCACCCCTTATTGGGCCCACCCCCAAAGAAGCTGAAACCCTCCTCGTTACAGGTCCTTCGTTTCAGTAGTGGGGAAGTGATGTCCTTTCCTATAGGTAACAACTTTTATGTGTTTTTGCATGTCCTTGTCTATTGTTTACATCCTCAATTATGTAAGGTAATTTACACACCTAAACTGACTTAAGTCTGATAAATTGTTCTCTACCAGAGCCGATGAAAGACGTGGGCTGTGAATTCTGCGGAGAACTTTTTGAGAACCGCAAAGGCCTCTCCAGTCATGCTCGCTCCCATCTGCGCCAACTTGGGATCACCGAATGGTCTGTGAATGGCTCACCTATTGACACACTAAAAGAGATTATAGTCCGTCGAGGCCTACCGTCCATCATACCTCTGAAGTCCCCCAAATCCCCCTCCTCTTCTCCGAGTTCTGGACTGCCTCGGACCGCAGTCCAGTCCTCTTCCCCACCAGGGAATTTGTTTGGGCGCCTGCCTTTCCATTTTGCCCAAACTCCAAGCCATGACCAGCCTGCTACCCGCAAAATGTCTCCTTCGACATCTACTACCAGTTCTTCCCCAACCGTAGGGCTGGTTAAACTGAAACCAGAGCCTGAAATTGTAGAGGTTACCATGAAAGGATCAGACATGGTAGTAAATGAAAGCTACAACCCAGAGCCACTACATTCCAGTTTAAACACTTCAGATACTGTTTATCCAGTCAACTTGGGTATGTTTTTCTGTTTTCACACCTGTGATATATGTTTGTTTGTTTACCCTTAGCATTTTCAATGATCTTAATGGATGACTGAATCCTTCCCAGCTCAATCTGTAGTCTTTTTATTGTTTTCCTCCTACAGTTATGACTCAGGAGAAGGAACCTTCCCGTGATATTCGCTGTGAATTCTGTGGCGAATTCTTCGAAAACCGCAAAGGCCTCTCAAGCCACGCACGTTCTCACTTAAGGCATATGGGTATCACAGAGTGGTCTGTGAACGGCTCGCCAATTGACACACTGTGGGAAGTCATGAGGAGACAAGGCACTACCCCTGCATCTGTTGCCTTGGGCATAAAGGAGGAACCGGGTCAGGATGGTGGGATTTCATTGAACAGTCCAGGCTATCAGTCCTCTGCCCTGTCCCGCAAGTCACCTCTTAACCTGCTCCACTCTGGCTCGCGTCTTCATAAGCATGGGCTGGGAAGCGTTGCCTTGTCCTCCACCTCACCTGTGGGGAAGATTTTTGGAGTGCCTCCTCTGAAGAAGAAGGTGCTGGTGGAGGAGGGACAGCCAGGAGAGAGAGCACTACTCATCCAATCTAAAAACTTATCGCCTCCCCCACAGGACTATTCCTTTAAGGGTAAAGCCTCAGTGGAGAAGCATGTGGTAGGCCACATGGGTAAGGTTATATTTTTGCCTGACTCCTTATTTCGTTATTTTCCATTACATTGTTTGAAGACTATTTGTAGTGCATGGCCTGTGTTGCTTCCATGTTTGCAGAAGCAAATAAATAAAAGACCCCAATTCAGAATTCCAATACTTAAAATAGATTCAATCATGTCAGTGGTTATAAGTGAAAAATGATATCAAAACTGACCCTATCTTTAGATGTTTCTGGTCTTATTGTGAACTACTCATTGTTTGCATGTTTGGCACAATATTTATTGGTTTCCTTGTTGTGCGAATAGTCTCAAGAACAATGTGACTTCATCTTTTTGTTTTTCCTTTTCAGATGCCAGTTGTGAACTCTGTGGATTCTACTTTGAGAACCGGAAGGCACTGGCCAGTCACGCTCGAGCACATTTACGACAGTTTGGCGTGACTGAGTGGTGTGTAAATGGTTCGCCTATCGAGACGCTGAGTGCCTGGATACGCAGCCGTCCACAGAAGGCAGCAGAGATGCAGCAAAGTTATGCACAAGGAGCCCGCTATGCCCAAAAGAAAGTATGAAAGCAACTGGAACAATTTTGTGATTCTTTACTACCCTGCCCAGTCATTGCAATTATGTGGTGTCTTGCTGTGAAAATTTTAAAAGCTTGCTTTTTAATATCAATTAAAATGGCTGTAATCTTTTGCAGAGGTGCAGTTCCACTCTCTTACCATCCTGTGACTCTGACTCTACAACTCCTGTTTCCCAAAAGCCCGCTGTGGCCAAATGGGCATCTCTCACTTTGCCTCAAAAGAGAGCAATTGGACAGGATGTCAACAGTTGTTCCTGGGGGTTGTCATCACGGGGAACTGACGCAAAAAGCAGGAGTGGAAGTTCCACTCAGCATGGCCTTATTCCACAGCCTGGAGCTCATCATTCCAATAATGCACTTCCACATGCGCAGGTGGCGCATAGTGAACTCAACGTGCGTTTGCCACGAGGTCTGAGCACATCTTCACCTCGATCTCTTCCTATCCCTTTTCTTCTATCTGCCTGGAAAATTATACCTAAGCTACCAATTTCTTTCTCTTAAGGATTTGAGAGACGGCCACTTAAACACCCATCACATGCTGAAGGAGGTGAGGGAGAGAGTGGCCCCCCAAAGCCTCGCTCCAGTACCGTTCCTGCCCTTGTGCCAAAGCCCCCCTCCACCCCACTGGTTAGACTTGTGGGTAAAATTTACTCACTCAAGTGCCGGTGAGTTGTGTATATTCTGTACTTGGATATTAGATCTGTTCCATAACCTAGTGAGCTGCCTTGATATCTTGACTGCCTACTAGCATGCTAACCAAAAAGGAACCTTGTAAGTGTTCTGTTTTAGAACAATCTAGAATGGTGGAAATTCCATGTGCTACGCAAACAGCACTTCTCACTGGCCCAACTTGCAACTAAGGCTACGTTTACACTAGTGCGAATGTGGGCAGCCACGCCATTGTTTTAAAAAGTTTCTGTTTTGGTTCGTTTACACTGAAACGCAACCTCTGAGTTTTCAAACGAAAATAGGGTCTGATGCGTTTTTGAAAGTCTCAGTTTTTGAGGATCGAAAATGCCGGAGTAGTGTAAACAACAGGCATACCGTAGCAAAAGTTATGCATTTTAAAACAAAAACTCACTAGTGTAAACGTAGCCTGATTCCAGTTAGCAAGCATGTTGCTAAGCTAATAACATGATATGGCAATAAATATAAAGAATGTATAATACACATAAATACTGGATAGACTAGTCCACTTTTTAACATATTTGTTTTGATACTTTTCTGTTTAGTAAAATATATTTATAATGACATTATCTACAATTGTAGCAACTCCATGTGGCAACAAGTAGTATTCTTACATCACTCAGCTCTCAGTTAATGTTAGTGTGTTGGTATATTTGCACTATTAAGCATAAAAATAAATATTGCACACATTAAAGTGACCTTAAAGTGTGATTATTGGTATTTATTATTAGAGCTGTTATATTAATTGTATTTTATATATTATATTTATTTATATGTTTTGCTAAGTAAAATTATATATAATTACATAATTCAGCATCTCTCTCAACTCATAAAATATTTCAAATTGTATATATTTTTTTCAGCCTAAAACTATGTATGTCTTTTGGAACAGTCTTTGTTATGGGAGCATGTCTATGTTGCCTTAAAATGTGAAGCATATTGTTTATCCAAGATCATATTTATGTTCTAGTGCAGTGGTTCTCAAACCTCTCCATGAAGTACCCCCAGCACTGCACATTTTGTATGTCTCCCTATATCTGACACACCCACCCCCAGCACTGCAAATTTTGTATGTCTTCCTATATCTGACACACCCACTTCAGGTCTTGCAGTCTCCACTAATGAGCTGATGAGTTAAATCAGTTGGGATAGATGAGGGAGACATACAAAATGTGCAGGGCTGGGGGTACTCCAGGACAGGTTTGAGAACCACTGTCCTAATGCATTTTGGCATCTAGATAGTATGTTTAAAATAGCTGTAAATGTGTAAGCCCTCAGAACCAATTGTCATTTATTTGTAATTCATTTCTTTTAGGTTCTGTGACGTGGAGTTTCACGGCCCTCTCTCGGTACAGGAGGACTGGATCAGGCACCTACAGCAGCACATTCTCAATCTTAACTACAACAAGACTACTTCACCCACAAACGACACTCCCGCCCAAAGTGACACTCCTGATCCCAAGCCCCTAGTCTCAGCTGCTACCTCCACGTCAACTACGACCACAGCTCCCGCCACGACCCTGTCCACGCCTTCCCCAAAGCCCACAACTACGCCCACATCAGCCTCCACACCTACACCCGCCCCCAGCCAAGCCTCCGCGGGGCGGCTGGCCACAGCAGAGCCAGTTCCTTCTCCTGCTAATTAGGCCATGTGTCCTTCCTACATATGTATGAGATGCCATCAGTTATTTCCATGATTTGTTTCTGTATTACTCATCTTTGATTATTTCAATCTCTGATCAAAGGGAGAGATTTTTCGAAAAATCTCAGCTAGCGACCCACTTACCCTGACCTACATCGCAAGCATCTGTTATGATTCAGGCGTGAGGTAGGTGTGTTGCCATGACAGTTCTCATCTCCCTTTTGTCTCGCAAGGATGGACCGTTATTTATGAACAAGAAAAAGTCACAGTATAATGCAACTTTACATTTGTTTTGTGGATAAGCTTTGATTGTTTCAAAAAGCAGAATGAGGATGTGGTGAGTTCAGTTCAGTAAGCTATTTGGCCCTTATGCCCAATGACTAATATTTGTTGTTTAAAATGAACTCAAAACTGTTAGCTTACCAAATGTATTCTTAAATTGTCGGCAAATCAGAGAATTACAATCAAAATGGCACAGATATAAAGCTCAACCTTAAACGGTTTTACTATGAAGGACTTAAACAAAAGGCCTTGACCCTTTGAAACAAAGCTTATCTGTTTCTAGCATTTGCAAGTTCAGAGTTTGTAACTGTTTTAGCTGTGATAATTAACTACAAGCCTGCACTCCCATGCAGTTATCAACAGATACGAGACGTTCGTTTTAAGCAGACACAGATGGGTTTGTGTCCAAACGGGACATGCCTTTTCTTTTCTGCAGTCCCACTGCAATCTAGACGTTGATAATCTCAGTTGAGTCTTGCCACTTAGAGTTGATGATCAAATTTGTCTGGAACCGATTGCTGCTAAATATTTAAATAAGTTAAGCACACTTAGTTAAATGCATCGTTTTAGCACATGACCAACAGAATGAGCATGCAAATTCTGTCATGCCTTCCAGTTGTATTCAACCATACGTATTTATGCCTTCGTTGCTTTTTTGTATGGCACATTGTTTTGTAGCGCGTTTGCACAAGCTTATGTGATGCTTTGCATAATGCTTTGATGAATCTGATCCTAGATCACTCCATTTTCTCTCCATTTAATTCTGTGCTTGGCACAAAGTAAACTCTAAATGAAACAGTCGACGCAGCTGTCTAAAAGTCTTCTTTGCTGCTTTATAAATGATACTTAAGCTTTCTGAGAAATTGCCTTGGAACAAGTTGATGGCCCGAAGTATTTTATGCTCATAAAAGTCACTTTTTTCCCAGATGCATTTCAAGAGAACCCAAATTATGGCTCATCTGAATGTTGAACGAACTGAAATATTTGGCTACACTACATTTGAATGTTTCACAAGAGTAAAAGGTTAATGCACTTAACTTATCTGCTAAGAATTAGGGAGTGTTTGTATATATACAGTATATACATACATACACATATAGAGTTTTTGTTTTGCTTGAAAAAATAAAAAAGCAACTGACAATGGGGGTGTACTATATGAGTATACTATACAAGTACACCATACTCGTGATGCCAGGAATTGATTATGACGATTTTTACCGCGAATACGGTGACTGCCTCCCAAACATACGAGTGCTTTTGGTTAAATTTCCATATCTGCACAGGAAAGCAATAACAAACTGGTCCACTATGGATGTTTGTTGCAGCTTTCACGACTTAACTCTTGACTGTTAGGCTTTTAGTAGCTATTCCAAAAGGGAATATTATTGATATATCTAACCTAACATATGTATAGGCAAGAAGAAGATATTAACAGTTTAACACTTCAAATGTGATCTTGATCATTGTGAATTTATTTAGATTTTTAATGCTGTGTATTTTTTAATGAGACGTGTGTTCCGTTACTTGCAGTTACATACCAGTGGAATAGATCAGTGTTTTACTTTTTATTCTGTCAGTTTCTCTTTTAAGATACAGTACATTGGTGCTCATGCGGACGAGTGGATGTGAATGGATTTTTAATTGAAGATTGTTCCAAAGGGAGATTGTCAAGTCCTTGCGCAAGGACTCTAAAAACGTGTCTCTTAAATGCAACTGCTCTGTACATTATGTTCTTGGTTAGTTGGGTCATTTTGTGACTGTTGCCCAGTTGGCATGTGCTTTACAGCTGATGGTGTACGTTCTCCTAAAGATCTCCTCAGCTGGTTTAGACTGCGGTGTCTGTACAAGTATTTGTGTGTATGAGAGAGACGAAAAGATTTTTGTGGCTGAAAGAGAGAAATGCCATGGAATTGTTGACCAGAGGAAGATTCGTGTGAATCTGCTCTTGAATGAAAATCATTAAATGTGATCTGAAATCTCAGCGAGTTGTGCACGTATCATTTTTTGATTCATAACACAGGAGGATGATCAACAATGCCGTAATTTCATTGGACGGAGTACAGCAACATTCTTTTGCATGTCTTATCAGCGCTGGGACTGTTGTAAACCGTACGATAGCAAAACAAACGGCTGCTAAAAGGTTAAAGTCGACGCTATGGGAACACAGTGATAACAAGCTTCCTGAGCTGCTATACTATATTTGTAAAATGCATGCTGCTTTTCATGAATAGGGCACAAATGCCATGTTACTTTGTTAGATAAACTATTACGTGAAACTAGCTTGCCATGGCAAATCTGTTTTGTTATTCATTTTGTGATCAAATTTGCTAAAGTAAAAATTGCGAAAGTAAGACTCTTTCTATACAGACGAATAATATGGTCTTTGCAATTTTTGGTTTTTACACCATTTGTTGTGTTGACATTTGTCAAACTCAACCATTTCAATCTGTTACCAGAAAAAGGTGATTTAATCGATTTGTCAAGTCTATTAATATTATGAACCAACATTTAGTCTACTAGCTAGGCTAGTTTAATGTAAGCTAAACCTTTGACCCAGTTACCCATTCTGGTGTATTTTACTTTACTTAATTTTACTTAATTTACTTTTATCTTAGTATCCTATTTTATTTTGCACAGTATGGCAATTTTGGTATCACTTAACAATAAGGTTCTATTTGTTGACTAGTTAATTACATGAACTAACAATGAAAAATAGTTCTAAACCCTTTATTAATCTGTTATTTTCAACATTATTATAATCAAAAGTTGTATCGATTAATACTCTTTAATGGACTAACGTTAACTAATGGTGTCTTGTTGTAAAGTGTTACAACAATTTCTTTATTATTTTTACTGGTTAACTGATTATTCTATTTTATTTTTAAGTTAAGAAAGGTGAAGTAATATTTTTGTCAAGTCTATAAATATTATGAACCAATATTTAGTCCTAAACCAGCTATAGGCTCTATTGAGTGGCAGTTTAATTTATGCTAAACTTACCTTTTATTGAATTTTATTGTATCGCATTGCATACATTTTTAAACATGATTTAGATATATTCTCATACCATATAAAATAAAACCCCTCATATAGTTTGCTCTCCTGAGGTTGACTTTCACAAAAAGAAAAAAAAAGAATCTAAAAAAAGATAGATAATATATTTTTAGGATTTTTAAAAAGAGTTTCAGACTTTATTTTACACAATATTTATGCCAAGTAAATGTGGAACATATTACAAACACACACCAGAGGAGGGGGCTATTGAGCTACAGAGCGTAACATATTTAGACTTCTTACCAACCTTATGAATCACGGCCACTAAAGAAATAACGGTAGAACTTTATTTTACGGTGTCATTGTTGCACATGTTACATGTCCTTACTATTATGATAACAATAAATTGTGCATATAATTACATGTAAGTAACCCTAATCCTAACTGGTAACACTTTATTTTAAGGTGTCCTTGTTACAGTGTAATTATATATGAGTAATATTAATTAAATACATGTACTTATTATATGGTTAGGGTTTGACTTAGGGTTACTTGCATGTAATTATGCTTAATTTTTTGTTATTATAATAGTAAGTACATGTAACATGTGTAACAAGGACACCGTAAAATAAAGTGTTACCTCCTAACCCTAACCAGTAAGTACATGTAGTTCATTAATACTATTCAGTACCTAAATGTATAATTACACTGTAACAAGGACACTTTAAATTAAAGTCTAACCGAAATAACCCATTTGCTAACCTAGAATTTACAGTTAGAGTATAACATGGAATATGTTGTCAATATTTTTATTTTTTGTGATGGTATTACTGTAGTTTCTCGTCATAGTTGGATGCATACAGAAGCTTTTGATGGCAGGAAGTATGGAAAGCATTCCATGTTCAGTGATTTTGTGCAATTGACATTCTCAGATAGAACTGATAAAATGAGGAGTCCAGTTTGACGTCTCTTTAGATAAACATATTTGAACACATGGCTTTTGAAAGGCTTTAATGTGATAATGGATATTTATGAATTCATGTACTTCTCAGTTTGTCAATATCAAAACGTATACAAAAGTCTCATTCAAACCACGAGGGAGTTTATTGTTGTACTCTTGAGTGTGAGCTGTCTGATGTATTATATACATCATAATTATACAGTGTAAAAAATCTTAGGACATTTGCACGAAAGGAAGAAAAGACGCAGACATTTCCCAGGAACCTTGGTGTTAAATGGAACGATAGACGAGCTGCTGTGGATGGGGGTGTATATGTCAAACTGAAACAAACATGAATGCAGACGTAAAAGCCAAACAATGCCAGATCCGAGCAAAGGGGAGGAAACATGGCGAGATGCTATGAGAGATCTGTGTCTGACAGGATGGGGAAATAGCTCAGACATAAACTATACTGACACACTTGTGTCTCTTTTAAGTGGAGAAAAATACCAGTCCTGTGTCTCACATCAGGCGGAAAGACTCAAAGTCAAGGCTAAATCTGATCAAAGACATTGCAAGGAACAAAGAACCACAAGGCCAACTTTTGTGTATTTTTTGTACAGCTTCTCAAAGCAACTTTTGATAACATGAACTAACAATGAAAAATACTAAGTTAATCAACAGTTGTATCTCTTAATTTAATATATTATATAATAATGGGCCAGATCGACTGATTTTTATTGAATTATATTTATTAATTTTTTTAAGTGATCAATGCTGATTGTGATATATACATTTATTGCATTGTTTTTACAGTGTATCAGCATTATATTGGCCATTATATTCATTTGCTTATACTAAAATGAGACATATGCAAATCACTTACTTATTTTAGACAATATTTTCACAAAATATTGAAAACCAAAAATGTTTATTATGAAGTTTGTCGGTATTCTGTAATTGATGTAAGAAGCAACTAACACTTCTGTTGATGTCTGCCTTGCCAGTATATCAGTTCACCATGAATTAGTGACCGATTATCAAATAGATATCTTTTGAATTTATGAAGCTTTATGAAACTTTTCTGTTGTAGTACTATTTATTTTTTTATACAGTATAGAAGATAATTTGGCATGTGGATAATATAACTTGTGATGTAATCTCTCACAAATAGTATAGTTGCATGAAAAGTTAAGTCTTACAGGTTGTTCAAATCATGTTTTTAGCATGCAAATTCATATTGAATCACATTTCAGGAGATTTAAAGGGATAGTTCACCCAAAAATCCATACTTCCATAGTATGGGAAAAAATACTGTGGACGGCAATGGCTACTGTCAACTGTTTGGGTACCTATATTCTTCAAACTATCTTATTTTGTGCTCGGAAAAAGAAAGAAATTCATACAGGTGTGGAACGACATTAGGGTGAGTAACTAATGACAGAATTAAAATTTCTGAGTGAACTGTCCATTTAAATGCTGGGTATGACTGATTTATACACTTTTTGAGATTGCTTTAGTATTACTTTATGGTGGTTTCTAATGGTACAGATTAGCTGTCTAGTTTTACTACTGAAAAACACTAACTCTTTCTTCTAGCTTGCTGATTTCCTGTCATTATATGTCTTATGAAAGAGCGGTCTGGCATACAGATGTACAACAGGTTTTACACAACTCAAGTGTGCCACACAACTTTCACAGAACATTGACTCATAAAGCTTTAGCAATGTCTTTGGCAAAGTGTTATAGGTCACAAATGTTTATTTTTGGGAATGTGCAGCCTGTTTTTGAGAATTTGTATGGTCATGCAATTCCAAAAATGTCCATTTTTTAATCCACAAGAAACGTATGGAAAAATTTTGTAATGGAGTTTTCATAAAACTGTAGAAATTATGTTTTCAAATGATTACTAAATAAATAAGTGGAGATAAAATTACTATAATATTTACTATAAATATTATGTAATAAATATTATATATTAAATATTATAAGGTTATAAATGGTCACAATTATTTTGTTAATTAATGTATGCACACAATGCATTTATCATCAAAAGATTCTACATATAAAATGTATATCAAATTTGAAGGCTGATTAAGGCTGCATATAATTAAAATATCAAATTTTAAGGCTGATTAGGAGTCGTCATGTTT